TGATTATCGCGACACATACCGAAACGCACTCTGCACACAGATTGCCACACTTAACTGGTTAATGTTAATTAATTATATAAATTTTATATAAATATATTATTGATCGTATTATTATACGTTTATTCATTTCATTGATTAAATTTGATATTTAACATGCATACATATATGCGTAAATACTTGAAATATTAAAATTTCATATCACCTTCCCAACGATAAACTAAAAGTATACAAATAGTTTGACATTTCTAGGATAATTTTCTTATTATCGATAGTTCGTTAGTAATATAAACAAAAATTACACACACACAATAGAAGAGCTTTCACAGAGGACAATGAGCCAGTCTTATTATGGATTTTGAAAACGACGGTACGTAAAATTTATATTCCGTGTTCTTTAACTACAATATACATTTGATTTGATTAATTAACAATTATTTTAATACTTTTATGTATTCTATTAATATATTTAGAATTGTTTACAATAAATTACATATGTTTTAACGTTTCTACTTAGCGGTGATTTTGAATTGAAAATTTTCATCTGAAATAAAATAACAGATGGATATTATTTGATATTCGAAAGATATAGGTATATATCTATTTTTAAACAAAAATTTACTTTGTGTATTAAATTGATACTAAAAGGTATATAAATAATAGTTAAAACGAAAGATGATGATTTTTAATGACAGATATTTTCTTTAGAATTATTTTTGTATTTGCTTAAATTCATTTGTTATAAATAATCCTTTCTAATTAAAATCATTAAATATATAATAAGAAGACGCTCACTAAAGTTGTATATATAGACACACACACACACACGTGTATACTTCAGCTGTAAATAGTAAAAATCGTAAATTTTGTTTAATATATACATATATATTTTTATTAATTATTTTTATTATTGAAATATATTTATATATTAATATTATCTTAATATATATATATAAATTACGTGTCACGTTGTTTGTACGCAATGGACTCTTAAACTACTGAACTAATTTTAATCAAATTTTACACACTGTGTGCAGTTTCATTCAACTTGAAAGATAGGATAGTTTATTATAGTTAATTATATAGTTATAATTATAATATTATTATATATTAATTACTTATATATTAATAATTATTGTGAAATATATTTTTGAAAAACAATAAACAAACAAACAAACAAACAAACAAATGTTTACGTGTTATATAATTGGGCCGAATTCATTAAGCAGGTTGAGAAACACTGAGTTAGAGTTTTCGAAATTTAACATTTCGTGTGCCAGAGTAGTTGCAGCCGTTGCCATTTTATCACTGGCGCTTTGCAGATATGCATTCATATGCAGCCTCTCGTCAATCAGTGGTCCAAGATATTTTAGGGAAGAGATCTGACCGTGACGGTAATTTTATATAAGTGCATACACACACACACACACACACACATATATATATATATATATATATATATATATATATATATATTTTTTATTCATCGTTTATCATTCTCTTTCTTATGCAACAATTTAGAAAATGTAGTAAGAGAAATGATATTAAAGAAAAATGAATAAAATAACCATGACATTAATAAAGGACATAATCTAAAAGGTTGAACGTACTGTTCTTGACTTCGGGAACTGGTTTAAGAAAATAAATGGCATTGAGATAATAATAAAAAAAAAAAGGCAATTTCAAAGGCGAGCATTTATTAATACGATTTCTTTTTTATTTTTATGAGTACGATAAAACATTATTAAACGTAGGATAATAATGTCATAATGTATGGCACACGTTTTTAATTTAAGCCCCCATGTGCTTTTTTTTTTCTCTTAAATATCTGTATATGTGTATATATATATATATACGTATGTGTACATACGTGTTATATAGTATATTTGTAGAAATTTTACGCTTTGTACTTTTCACGTTGTTCTTTGTATTTTTATTACTTTAAAATAATAAAAGCAAGCATATGTGTTATACGAGTTTGACAAAAAGAAAATAAGTATAATGTACATATTCCGTAATTAAGTTTATAATTATTAGAATCTTTTACATTTATGAAGTTTCTCAAAATGAAGTTTAATTCTAAAGGACTTACGTATGGTTATACATATACATATACATATGTATGGAAAATATTACGAGATGATATAAATTACTTTAAAATATTAAACGCATCATATTTACAAATGTCCGACTAACTTTATAAATCATAAACACACAATTTATATCACTGCGTGTTTCATATGATGATACACAAAAAAATAACATTGTTTAATTTATAATTGGTATTTTAAATTAAAAATAACAAATAAGAGTTCCCAAAAATTGAAAATACTTGAACGACAATTACAAAAGTTTCATTTTTTATTGATACATTATTAACAATTCCAAATTGATTACTCATCACTTATAAACATTTACAAAGACAGATGATTTAACCTTAACCCTTTCGTTACTATGAGCCACTATAGTGGCCCTCCATAAAATGCCATGTATTTTACATACAATGAACATATGCAGTTATAACATATCAAATATCTCATTATGGACGTGTAATTTTAATGTTTTGTATCTTTCAATGAAAAACCGTAAATATCAGCACCAACATCCTCAAAAATAAATTGCAGTTTCGATTTATGCTGCACATATTAATAGCCCTTACAGTAAAAGTTGCGCCACAGAAAACACACCCGTAGTAAAAGGGTTAAGGGTGAATTACGTAATTAAATAAAAAAGAAAACTCGATCTTCAACAAATGTTATTTAAATGTGAGAACTAAAAGAGAAAAAAAAAAAAGAAAAAATAGATAAAGACGTATAAATAATCGAGTGAAAGAAGCATCTCACGATCTGGAGAGAGAGAGAGAGAGAGAGAGAAAAAAAGAAAGAAAAAAAAATACCAACGAATCGGTTGCTCCCCTTAATAACGAAGATTACAAGTCTAGTCTAGTCTCGTCCTTCGAAAAAGAATTATATTCTTTATCGGTACGTTTACGGGTTACGGTGGTTCTGTGTTCTCTTATCCTCTTTCCCTATACCTTCTTTTTCGTTTCTTTTATTTTTTTTCTTTTTTTTCTTTTTTTTTATCACCCATTCCATTTCTCTATTCTTTAACCCCCCGTTGCTCGCGAGCACGCTGATACTTTCGTGATAATGGATCGTTCGTTTCTCTCCTATATATATATAGGATATATATATATATATATATATTCTCTCTCTCTCTCTTTTTCTCTCTCTTTTTTCTTTTGTCGTGGTTACCAGCTGGTCCCAGTTTTTTCCCATACCACCACTGACCCACATTTTACAAACGCATATTTTTTTCCTCCCTTTCTCTCTCTCTCTCTCTCTCACTCTCTCTCTCTCTTTTTTCTTCTTTCTTTTCTTTCTTTTTCTCTCTTTATCTACCCATTTTATAACTGCGGTGCAAAAGAGTCGTAAAAATATACATATATACATGCATACATACATACATATATACATACTTTTGCTACCATCGCAAGGTCGCATACTCGAGGATGGGCTTTGAGTGATAAATGACTGAAAAGTGTACGAACAGTTAAAGACTTTGGGGGTGAGAATAAAGGGTACGGGGGTTTGAAAGGTAACGAAAAAAAAAAACAAAAAAAAAAGAAAAGAAAGGAAAACATAAAGCTTTGCATTTTCGAATCGGCCAAGGCCAAATGGCGTGAGGGGAGAACACTGGCAATGAACTTTCGACATCGAATCGAACGTACAATAATCGATCTATATATTTTAATCCTTATAACCTTTTTTTTTTCTTCGTATTTTTTCTTTTTCTTTTTCTTCTTTTTTCTTTTTTCTTTTTGTTTTGTTTGGCGGGTATAACGGATAACAGATAATTCTCGTGGCTTTGTTTCAAAACTTTCGTTTAGATTATTCTTCGAATTTTTGTTCCTTCCAATAAAAGATAAAAAGATAATAGATAAAAGATATATATATATATATATTTAGATTATAAAGAGAGAAATATATAAATGCTGAAATATAAATTTTTCACCGCACGCTTTGATGAAAAGCTTTCTTCGATTTTCAACGAGTTAATGTGAAAATGTCGGGTGCTGCCAATCTTGTTGAAGTCCACAGTTTGTTTTGTTTTCTATTTATTCTTTTACCAGTTTTTTTTTTCTTTTTCTCTTTTTTTGTTTTTTATATATTCCCCCTTTTTTTTTTCTTTTCTAGGGTTGACCTACATTTAAAAAAAAAATCCCTCCCTCTTCTCTCTTTCTCTTTCTATCGTTTTTTTTTCTCTTCATCTTCTTCATTTTTTCTTCCTTTTGTTTTTGTTTTTTTGTTTTTTCATTTTATTTTTTTTTTTTTTTTTTTTTTAAAGAAGTCCCGTTGTAAAACGCACAAGGAGACCTTACTTCACGATCCAAGGTTGCGTCAGGAAAATGAAATTGAATGTAAAACGGCAAGTGTTTACCCGTAAAAGTGTAAGAAACGAAAAAGTTTTTCTTTTTTCTTGTTTTTTTTTCTTGTTTTTTTTTTTTTCATTTCTTTTCCCTTCTTTCGATCCCCCGAACAATTGGCAATAAAACTTCGTTCAGAAGGGTTCCGCAACCTCTTGAAACAGGATTTCGCTTTTAACTCTAACACGTTTATACTGAAAAATGTATAGGGGCTTTTTTTACTTTTTCGTTTTTTATTTTTTTGTTTCCCCCTCCCCTCCCCTTTTTCTCTTTTTGTAATAAAACGTCAGTGTTAATGTTAAACGTTGGATCCGTCCGTTTTCGTGACAATTTTGTTAATAATTGTTAACCGTTTGTTTTTATTCTTTTCTTCTTCTTCTTCTTCTTTTAATTTTGTTAAGTTTTAAAAGAAGATAAAATAATAATGAAAATAATTATAAATCTTAGTAAAAATCGTACGATTATTATTAAACTTGATAAACATTAATGAAGGAAGCAATGAAGATCTTAGTCGTTAAAAAATTCAATAGAAGTTAATTGCCATTGAAACTTTCAATGGTGTACGAAGCCATTCGAGAACGTAAAATTGCCAATCTGTAACACCGAAAGTCAGTAAATCAGTATTTACGGTGTATAAGAAGGGTGAGGGAAGAATCTAACCTACCAATTGCACGATATTTATACTTAAACGTTAACAGTATTATTATGAAATAAATGAAAGAAAAGAAAACATTAATGTGTTTTAATAACGATGTAGTTTATTGCAAAATATTTCGAAATACAAATTTCGAAAAATTTCTGCAGTGGGGAGAGGGGAATGATCGTTAATTTTATTCATCGAATTTTATCTAATCGTTTGTTTTTTTTAAGTGAAAATTTCTTTAGAATCAGGGTGATTTGAAAATCGTGAAACGGAAGAACGTGAAACCGATGAAACAAAAATAATTAATTAATTATTTAAATTCAATATATAATTTAATTCTATATATTAATTAATTAATTAATAAAATTCTATACATAAAAATTCATTGTCACAATATGTTTGTCCAGTAATAATTCCGAAACTACTCAACTTATTTTAATGAAATTCATTTTATTTCACGCGTGATTTTGTCCAACTTAGCACATAGCACAATTTTCATCTATTTTTATGTATTTTTTTATTACTAATTTAAAGATTTTTATTTAGAGGTTATCCAGGTTCTGTAAGGTTCTTTCAATAGATGGCGCTGTATTACAATTCAATTATTTCGAAGCTTGATGTTTTTTGAAAGTTTCACTTCTAACTGTGTTGTGATCTGCACACATTTGTCTTTTGTTTCTTTTTTATCTCCCTTTTTAAAAAGATAAAATAATCTGACCAATTTAAGGATTGAAAAGTAACGAACACTCATTGTCAGTAGTAACCATAATTCCATTCGTGGTTTAGATGGATCGTTTTAGTGTAAAATCTCTCTCTCTCTCTCTCTCTGTTGCAAAACGTGACTAGATTTTGCTTTTACGGATTAACCGAAAGGGAGAAATGAATGAGCAAAGAAAAGAAAAACCCCGTGCCCTTTTCATTCCTCTCACTCAAAAAAAAAAGAAAAAAAAGAAAAAAAAGAAAAAAAATAGGTAAAAGAAGAGAAAAAAGTTTCTAAGCGTAATTTAAATCGCATTCAATCACGATTTACTCAAAATGTATTTAAAAGGGAATGTTTGATTGCACTTTTATTTGTAATACATATAGTTCTAATACCCATTTAGAGTAAATTCGTCTAGTTGTTGTTAGAAAGTAGGGTTATCCCTAGAGACGATTGCGGTATGTTACCGGAACTAACCGTAAAATCTCATAGATCACGTGAACGTCCATTTGCACGGAGGTTGGTCCCTAGAGGATGTACAAGGAGATGTGTCCAGTTGAGTTAGGACATTTTTTTTATAAATCTAGTAATACTATTTGATATCTAATAAAATATCCAATTAATTTCTGATTTTTTATTATTTGTATTTGTATTTTTGTTTTGTTTTGTTCTTTCAATACTTCATTTCGATAAAATGTTCCAACAATTCGAGATGAGTTAATAAATTTATCTAATAAAATATATTTTGTTCTTCAATTAATTTCTGATTTATTATTATTATTTTTGTTTTGGTTTTTCTTTTTTACATACTTTAATTCAATCAATTTTTCAACAATTCCAAATGACGTTTCAAATATATCTAATAAAATATCCAATTAATTGTGATTTTTTATTATTTGTATCTTTTTTTTGGTTTTGTTTTTTTCAATATTTCATTTCGATCAAATGTTCCAACAATTTGAAAGAGATGACGTTTTAAATACTTTAACAATAAAATATATATAATATAGGTTCATATATATTGGAATTTTCGTTAAATGGAAGATACATTTTTCTACGGGTGTAATATACAATTGTACATATATGAATCGTCGTTGTTTACATTCAAAGAGAATACGATAAAGTTTAGTTTTTAAGATATGATCTTTTTAGAAAGGTCGATTTATTTCTCAGTGATCTTTGTACGTATCACAAGTGGTATTATAGGTCGGGTCAAGAGATGCTTACACGAATGGACCTTTCTTTCGAGGACTCGATCTCAACCTAAATCAACGCTTAATGTTCTCGTTAAAATGAGTAGAGAGAACAAGAGAGAGAGAGAGAGAGAGAGAGAGAGAGAGAGAGAGAACCGAAAAGTACCGTTGATATATATATAAATACAATGAGTGTGTATGTGTTCAAAGTAATTAATAACGCACCGATAACGAACCATTTTCACAACAGCAATAATCATTGTACGTTTTCTTCATTTTCATTATGTCAAAGTTTCATTCAAACTCGTTTAAAGTAATAAAACTGATGGGAGATGTCGATGGGGGAGAGGTGTCCTTTCAACGTAGAAGATCTGTCCAAGTTATTCAAAGAAGATTAATCGAATGAAAAGCATCGTTGAATGCTAATTAAACCGTGCGATAATTACTATCCAGTAATTAGAAGTAAATTTACAAAGATTCAATTGATAATTCAAATTTCTTACATTATACGTAAGTGTTGTTTTTTCTTTTATTATTTGTTCACCTTTTTCAAATTTATATTATTACAAAAATCAAAATTAAATCGTTAAAGGAATAATATTATCAATTTTCATTTTTGACTGTTTAAATCTACAATTCGATGTTTGATAATTTGTAATATGAGGGATTGTTTGTACAATTAATTACAACATTGAATTAAATTATTACCAAAGTAATAAGTATAATTTATTTAATGACTAGGGGAGGGGGTGTCTCGCCACGCGTTCCTGTGGCTCACAATCAGTCCGATACACACATCTTTAAGTCATAATTCACAATAAAATAATATTGCGATTATAAATTGAGATATAAACTATCCTATCTTTCAAGTTGAATGAAATTGCACAGAGTGTGCAAAATTTTATTCAAATCGGTTCAATAGTTTAGGAGTCCATTGCGAACAAACAACGTGACACGTCATTTATATATATTAAGAAGATATAAAAATAATTGTATTATAATTATTTTCATTTCTTTTCTTTTTGACTTATTCCATTGTCATAATAATTGACACATTTACTGAATAAAGAAACTGTGAAAAAGAGAGAGAGAGAGAGAGAGAGAGAGAGAGAAAATAAAAAAGATGTTGAGAAAGAAAAAGTATAATATAACATCTAGTCGTAAAACAAGAAGAGTATATTTTCACACTTAAGTCACGTTCTCTTTCTCGATCTACTTCAATAGCCCTTAAGCTTTAAGTCCTACCACAGGTTTGCGGCAGCCCTGTTCTGTTTCTCTTCACCTCCCCTCGTCTATCCAATAGGGGGTTATTTTGTACGCTGGCTTCGTAAAAACGCGAGTTTCCTGTCGTTTGAAATATACGATGCACGTGTGTCTTCTTACACAGTCTGACCTCGAAGTCTGAAATGTCTTTAAAACTAGAATACTTTGCGGAAAAAAAGAAAAAAGAGAAAAGAGAAAAAAGAAAAAGGAAGAGAGAGAGAGAAAGAGAGAGAAAGAGAGAGAAAATACAAGAAAGTCAACAATAAGTTTTACCTCGAAAGAAAAAACACTCTCTTTCTATATACATAAACAAATAAATATATATATATATATATATATCGCTCTTTAAACTTTCACAAAATTTGCTGATACTAATTACCTATTAACGTTAAATGTTTTGTTTGCGTTTAATTAACCCTTAAAAGAGTAGCACATAAAATAAATCACGTTAATATTCTATCATGAATAAAATTTAAGATTAATGTATTATTTTATGAGTCAATTAGAAAAGTTATGTTAATTAACTGTTATACAAAGAGGGTAGTAGCTTAAAATAATTATTCGTATTTTATTATTAATGAAATTTTGTGATAAATATATATATTATTTTGGAAAAATATTAATTAGAAAATTGTTCGAAATAAAATTGATTTGGGATGATAAATAGAAACGTTTATTTTTTAATTTTGTTGATATTAAATTTCAATTAGTATTTTAAAGATCAAACGATTAATTAATTAAATCTTTCGTCAATTAAAACACTATGAAAGAAGAAGAACTTTTTTGTTTGCTCGAGATAAAAAAGAATGAAGATTTAAAAGAGATTCAATGTTAAGATATCCAATCCTTTTAAAGCAAAAAAAAAAAACAAAAAGTTAATAAACAAATTTAACGAATGCGGACATTAGTAATTCTATTCTTTTTTAGTAAGAAGCAAAATAAGTAAGGATGTAGCAGTACAAAGAAAAGTTTCAATATTACAAGTTCTTTAAGCTTTTTGCGGGTTACTCACGAAAGTTTCTAATATTTTAAAAGTTAAGTTTGTTTCACCATTCTTGGTTTAAAGTATCTTCTTCCGTACTTGTGAAAGCTCGACTTTAATATTTTTTTTTCTTATACTTCATAACCAAACTTTAATATTACGTTAAAATCAATACATATATATATATATATATATAGATTCGACAAATAGACATTCAATATTATTAATCATAAATAAATAGAATAATATATGGTCACATATTTTTACTACGATATAACGGCACAAAAATTCAATATAATATTTTATTTCATAATCAATAATATTAGGTCGAGTCATAAGTAACTTCCGATGCGGTTATGTAGAATCTATTGGAAATGATGATCCTAAAATGGATTTTCGATATCACTATATAGATGAGGATTCAGTTAGTCTTCTGTCAACTTTTTGAAGTAAAAAATTCTTTAGAATGGGTGTCATTTGAAAAAATGTAACGAAACGGTAGGCGGCTATGTAACGGAGCGGTGGGAGACAATGAAACGGCCACGATACTAAATAAGAAGCGAATACAATTATCCTACAGCAGATATTTTCTATTCGTCTCATTCTTTCGAAACTTAGTTTTTG